ATCCTTATTATCTATGTTAATAATTTATATCCTATCTATTTCAATGTTATCCCTGATCGTTCTTTATGGTCAGTTTGATTTTTACCTTTATATAAAATAAACTAGTTCCATACAGATCTTTGTGTTATATGGACGTATACAGAGCCTTGAGTTTTGGCTAGAGATTGTGAGCCTTGAGTTTGGGCTAGAGAGATAGAGTCAGTGAGACGATAATTAGACTCTGAGTAGAGTAATCTCGGGAGCTAGATTTCTTACATATATACCATACAGGGGGTGGGGTGTATATATATACTATACAGGAGGGTGTGTGTGTAAATATACTATATTGGGGTAGGGTGTATACTGCACAGTGTGTGCCTAAAAACCGGCATTTCAACTGGGTGGTCAAAATTGACCTGGTCCGAGACGGGCAATTTTGACCGGGCAGAAAAAAGGCTAAAAAGAGCAGTAAACATAAACTTTTCACACTGAACGTAATATTTGCATAGAACTAACATCAGATGCAAACTTTTCACTTGTCACTAATGGGTTAAAACCTCGGAAAAGTGAAATGAAGCCCAAAGAGTTGCTTAATAACGGAGTATTTTAAACTGTTACTTCTAAAATAAAAATAACTTTATTATGGTCGACAGAAATGCATACTAAACTCGTCAATTTTGATGCAGACACTTAAAAACTCCTAATTAAGTAATTTGTTTAATAAAAGTTAAGGGACTCATAATCTTCTAAAGTGAATAATTTTGTTGCTAAATCAACTAGAAGCTTTTTATAAAGCAATAATGCAACTTCACTAAAGTCTGATTGAACTATGGAAATTTGTTTAAACAGACTAATGTTTTTTTTTGCTGGCAAAATTTAGTGTGATTAAAAATTATAGTGAATATAAAATTTTCCATTACAAAACACGGTTCAAACACTAATTTATTTCTCTCTAAAGGGGTACTGGGACACTCTGGGCTGTAGTAAATTTGAATTTGATCAGGACCTGCCCAGTTTGTTCCGGACTGCAAGATAACAGAGTCCACTGACCTGATCCTATGTGCCTTGTCACAGCACGGATGACCATATTCTGTCGGAGGGCCAATTATGACAACTCCCATAGCTCGTTCAGACTTTTTACAATACCTGTCCTAATCCTAGGCCTATTAGACCAACCCCACTGGCTTAGTCCACCGTGGGGAGGGGGGAATAGGCGTTTGGTGTTAAATATAAGCTATTTTNCCACCCATTAGCTACTACCTGGTCAATTGAAACATGTCAGACTGAAGTGGGTTCACAAGAAGTTTGACCCATGGGAAAACTGATCCATATCGACAAAACCCTGAGTAGTATTGATCTGTGATTAGTCCTAAAGGCATATTGTGTTTAAGTTGTTAGTTGAGTTGGTAACTACTAATATTTTCTATATGTTCTCTTTAATTAGATTTAGCAGCATTTTTACTCTCACTATAATTTTGCCACCAACATTTAAGAGACCATTCACTGTAATTTGAGGGTAAATTAAATAGTCTATTAGCTTTTCATTGATATTAGCCTTACTTTTCAAAGACAGCTGAGAAAAAGCCGATTTATCATTCAAAATTCAAGTGTAATTATATGATACCTTTTCAAAGACATTGTTTGATTCTTTCTGTCAGTCATGGAATTTAAAAAAATAACAAATAATAAATTTAGTTGTAGTATCTCATAGTTTATTGCGGATATCTTAAATTATTTTCAAAATTATTTTTAAATTGTCTTTTTTAAAAATATTACTTATTTCAAGCATTTGAGGGTTTGATATGTGTTCTCTATTTTCCCCAGAAATCCAATTATTGAGGAGTTGGAATCCAGGAACAGGTTTCTATGAGAATCAAAAGTTTTTATATTTTTTCATATACTGGCTGGCACTTGTTGTCATGGAAGTATGATAATTTTAGTTTTAATTTAGTTGTTGTTAATTAAAAGACAATTAAATAGTGTCTACACTAAGTTATCGTATCTTTCTGCTGGAATTCTAAATGACAAATCAGGTTTTTCTCCCGTCATAGATTTCGTTGAAAAGTAAGACAAGTACCAGTAAAAAGGCTAATTAGTTTACCATGAAATAAAAAAAACCAGGAGGTTAAACTGCCTTTTTAAGTTAGATGATATAAGTCTGATGGAAGCAAAATCTTTAAGAAAAATTTAAGAAAAATCTTTTATTAAGACTTTAGTGGAAAAAAAGCCAATTTTTGATAGATTACAATTTTAAATAATATACATCTCAGACTTTTGTGAAATCTCCTGATAACCTAAAATTCTTAACGTTTAAAACACTTTGACAAACTCCATGAATATTATTTAATGAATACTATTTAAAATCATTATGTTTAATGTAAAACCCATTCTGTTTAGGCACATGGAGGATCAAATATGGAACAGGTTCAGCAAAAAAAAATCAATTTACAAATTGTATTTTTTTTCTAATAATTTTGTTTATATTTTTCTTTATGGAAGAAAAACTTGGTACTTTTCATTTATTTTTGGTTTTAAAATATACTGATTTTAAGTTGAGGTTTTTGTAACCTTGAACACCAATTGAATTATATACAATAGCTATATTAATTCAAACTAAGAATATTGTAGTAAGATTTTGATTCCACTTATGACCAGCTGAGGGATTTCATTTTCATTATAAACCCCCTGTAAATACGTCTAAATCACTCCAGTGGAATTATAAACTCCCTGGAAAGATATTTTAATCCCTCCAGTGGAATGTAAATCACCCTGCGTAAAGTTTTAAATTGTAAATTGCCATTTTTCAAACCCCTCTAGTGAAAATGAAATTACTCAGGTGGGCTCCAGTGGAGTCAAATTTCTAACTGCAAACTTCCATGACTCTATTATTTTGATCCTTAAATTGTAAAATTGCATATTCCTTATCAGGTTACAAAGGTTACAATGAACATTCACTTAAAAAGTCAAACGAGTATTAAATTGCCAGTTGTTGTTTTTCTTGTTCATTGGACTATTTGAAATCAACACTCACAGGGACTGTAAGCGTAGTTTCAAGCGATCCTCCAAATTCTTTCAAAACCCTTGAAGCAATTGCCTTGACTACAGAGATCTGTTTGTGGAAATATCTTATTAGCTCTTGAATCATTCCAAACCCCAGTATACGCTGCGTTCAGTGCAAACTTTGCACAGCTGATCCTGCAATAGGGTCTCTGGCAAATATTGTCATTTTTAAATGAAAGTTGCTTCAAATATTAAATAGTAATTTTTTTTTTAACTGGTTTCTGTAAATTATCAAGGATATGTCTGTCATCCTTGATCAGTGAAAGGTTTAAAAGGGCACCGTTGTGAACCAGGGATAGCCTCTTTTAAGGAAAGGTGAAATTAAATGGCTCGTACAGTCACTTCAAATCTTAAAGCTGTGTTCTAACTGGTAACACTATATTATATTATATTTGTTTAGAAAACTTGTATTCCTCTTTATACATTACTTCTTGCTCTTGGTAATCCTACAGTTCATTACTTTTCACTGGACATAGAGGGGGCGGAATTAAAGGTTTATAATTTATTAAGGTGCTATGATACTTCACAGAAGTTCAATTCATTAACCCTATCTCTGCTGGGGTACTTGAAAACCAGGATATGCTGGGGGGGGGTCAATTTGACCCCCCCCTCTAAATCCCATGTTTTATGTCCAAATATGACAAATGATACATCATTAGAAAGCTCTTGTGCTCTACTTTTAGAATCTGCAAAAAAATTTGCAAATTTGCGAAAATTGAATTTTTTATCGCAAAATCCAGTTTTATAGTAAAAATGTTTGCAAAAAAAAATTTGTCCAAAAAATGACAAATTATACATTTTTGAAAAGCCCTTGACCATGCCATTTCAAATATGCAAAAATTTTTGCAAAATTTTAAATAACCTGATTTTTAATCAAGAAAAACTAAAAATGTGCAAATTTCCTTTGACAGGTTGTTTGCAAAAAATTTGTAATTTTTTTTTTGCAAAACTTGTGCAATCCGTTTCCTTATGTCATAGGCTTTCCAAAAAGCTAAATTTTATCAAAATCTGACAAGTGAAAGTGGGTCAAAACAAAGATTTAGTTTGTTAAAGGCAAAAGAAGTCATTCAGGCAGTGTGCCTGAGGACTCAGGCAGTTAGTATGAAAGCCCGATTTTAGGCCTAAAGGGAGGGCTTTGGGTATGTAAGTAAAGTCAGAAAATTTCAACAGCCTCAGACCAATACTTTTTGAGTTATGTAAAAAAAACTACAGGGGGGGGTCAAATTGACCCCCCCCCCAGCAGGAATAGGGTTAAAGCCTGGTTTTAGGCCTAAAGGGATGGCTTTGGGTATGTAGGAAAAGTCTGAAAATTTCAGCAGCCTCAGACCAATACTTTTTGAGTTATGTAAAAAAAAACTACAGGGGGGGGTCATATTGACCCCCCCCCAGCAGGAATAGGGTTAATGGACATATCATTTTGATAAAAAAAATTATTAATAGAAAATTTCCTGTATAGGATATTTTACAGACATGGTAGATTTTTCATAAAAAGGACATTTTAAATGATTGAGCCGATTTTTTATAAAAAAAAATATAAAACAATTTTGGAAATAAAAACAGTTACTATACTGACTAAACTTGGAGGGTACCACTGAAAATCAGACAGGCCGCTCTATCTAACTATCTATCTATGAATCTAGGTTTTGAAAGCTATACCTTGGCATCTGGTGGATATATGGTTGGTAGGAATAGAGACAAATCATATCGGAGAATTTGACAATACAGAGACAAGGTTTAGAACTTTGATATGATTATTTGTCTTTGTTTTGGGGTGGGAGGGGAAGGGGGGCTTGCTCATATGCAATCACTAGCCAAATAAAGGTTTTTGAACTTGATCTTAAAAATAAGTATATGGTGTAATCTGTGATGGTACAGAAAAAGATATTTTTCTCCTTATAGATAGAAGTAAGATTAGTAGCGATCATAAGCAATTATTTTTAAGATATAGAAAGCTTAAAATTTTATTTTGATATTTTTTGTAGCAAAAAAGAAAATAATTAAATAAGTTGAAAACTTTTGTATTTGGAAAATGCTCAAGATTACAACAAGAATATATACTTTTTTTCTTAGATTAAGACTTAAAACCCTGAAACCCTATTTTTGACAATATAATGTCAAAATGAAAAACCTCGAAGTGAGATCAGTAAAATATGACAAAAAATGTATTGTTGTCATTAAAAAATTGTTGAAAGGCTTACAGAGTGATATTGATATGATAAATCAGCAACTATATGATTTTATTAGTATTATCAATAATAATCCTTGTAAACTATGCCATTTAATTGGATTATCATGTTACTTCAATTTTAGTTTGCTTAATTCATTATTTTTAAAATTGTTCAGACGAGATTTACTGAACTATATGATTAGCCAGGGGTACAAGCATATTGGTACTATTGGCATAGATGATATTTTGATCAAACCTGATAAGGTAAAAATAAAAAGCATTAACAGAAATATTCAGATATATCATTTACTTTTAGAAAAGGAACTAAACTATTGCCGCAAACTTTGATTTTTTACTCCAAATAGCTTTGCAATCCAATGTTGTTGACAGCTTTGATATTTCAAATCATGAATTTTGTTACAATAAAAAGCCTATGTATGAAGGTTTTCACCATCAGAAGTTTATGGAGCATCAAATTCACTTCAAAAAAATATCAGTCTGAAAATTTTGCAAACAAAATTAAATGTTTATATGTAATTATAATGTGGAAGAGGAAGACAACTGTTAGTCTCAATTTATTATTTTTAATAGTCCTATGAATATGAAACACTGCAGATGCTCATTGAAAATTAGACCTATTTGAGATAATAACTTTAAACTGTAAACCATGTCAAAATAACCTGTTTATTTGTATAAATCTGCAAATGGTTCTTTTTTTTTCTTTTTAACAGTGTTCCACGGGTTCGAACAGGATTCCGGGATTTGAACAGGGTTCTGCTAACTACCTGGGTTCTAACAGGATATTGGGGGTTTCATGGCCAATCTTTCCAAGGCTCATAAAAAATTAGACCTCCATCTTCAATGTTTAGAGTGCAAGGGAAGACTTTGAAAAGTTCAAAAAGAATGTCTGAAAAATGTTCAAAAATAAAAAATTTTACCTTTTAAAAATATTAATATATTACATTACACATGTTATTACATTCATTTTTTTTTAAGGATTTTAAAGTTATTTAGAAAAAAACGTGATAAGGACAAGGTTCTCTTTGTAATATTTATAATATTTCAGGTTAATGTAAGTGATGAGATGATTACCTATTTAATTTCACTGCAGGATAAAAGTCAATATCCTAATGAACCGCAAATCTAAACATTTTTTTTTGTTAAATGATCTTAAAGGGACTGTCAGCCTAATTAGCATACCCAATATAACGAAAAGTCAAAGAATCTGTATATTTCCTTTCTTATTTCCACTGTATACATCAGCAAATAAAAATTATAAATTGTAAGATGGAGAAACAATGATATTCTTATTGTTTTAAGCATAATATTAAAGGGTTGTTTTAAGCATAATATTAAAGGGAATCCTCAAGCAAATAAATCGTTTGAATTGTGGCAAAATTCTCCAATAAAACATCTATGTTATATATGTTTGCATTATTTGAGATATTCACCAACTTGATGCGTTTTTGATGTTTTCTTGTTTTTTTATTGTTTAATTATGAATGTAATAAATAATAAATACCTAATTCTACTGTTGCAACTTTTTTCAATGACAATAAAAAAGAAATAATGAACACAATTTTTTTGAAAATTCTAAATCTACTCTAAAGAAGTAAAGGAACACATTTCTATATCTTTTCTCAACTAACATTTTCAAATTCCTTGCTTTTTTTAATCAGAAGGAGAAATTTTCTTTGACCTCTCTTATTTTTCAAAAAAAAATGATGGAATTTAAATTTGATTTTACTCAATGCAGGTTTATTTTTAGATATTTTTATTTTGTAATTATTAGGTGTCTAATAAATTCAACTTTCTTTAATTCTAAATCTACAATTCAAGGAACCTTGGAGATGAGATAAGATTTAAGTTAAAACTACAACAAAATGTTTTCTTTTTGGGTGTTAATAAAAAATCCACAAAAAGTATAGGTTAATACGAAGCTCATTGAATATTAGTGGTTTAAAAGTTTTAAAAGGAGTGACTGACTAAGTATGATAGTTGAACTGAGAGTGTAAAATTACACAACATTAAATAATCATTCATATTATACAAATTTTGCATGATTTTAAGACTCAAAGGAACTGTGTGAGTAATTTTCACTTGACCTTTCATTGAAAGAGGAAAGCTGGTTCTCAACGGTGCCCTTTTAAACCTTTGACTGGTCAAGGATAACAGACATATCCTTGTTAATCAACGGAAACCCATTTATTTATTAAACACTTTATTAGCAAACTCTTATATGTATTTTTAACTTTAATAATTTATTCAATTAAATTTTGCAATATTTTTAAATTCTTATCAGATATCAGATTGAAACATTTTGAGACTTCTATATTTCTTGTTTTCATTTATTCTTCTTGATCGTCCATTCCTTGTACATCCTTAAATCATACTTTAGCAAGGTCACTGCCCTCTAAACTTAGCACTCTCATTTTTGAAACATTTTTAAACTTTAATGGATAATAAATTTTGAAGTTTTTTTGTATGCATTGAGTAGGGTACAGGCTGATAAAAGCTGGTTAGAGTAAAACAAAATCTAAATTAGCCTGTATCTTTTGTGACCAAAATTATATATCTAAAAATTATATTTTGAAAAGCCCAAGAAAAAATGATAGTAAAAACATTTTGAAATATGTGTGAAACCTCCCAAAAAATGTTAAGGTTGAGGGAAGGGAAGAAAAGAAAAGTTACATATTTATTACTTGCATTAGATTTTATATAACTATAATGTTTGAAAAAACACAATTGGATGATACAATAAGAAGATAACTAGTTTTCCTAAACTCCAATTCAAAACTCCACTTATTCTGGACTTTAACTCCACTTTTGAGCTCAAGTCACCAACTGGGTGAAATCTGGGAACTGGTGGGAAATAGTGGGAAACAAGTGGGAACATACAAATTTCAAGTTGGAACTGGTGGGAACAAGTGGGAAACTAGTGGGAAACAAGTTGAAACATACAAATTTCAAGTAGGAACTTGTGGGAACAAGTGGGAAACTAGTGGGAACTAGTGGGAAATAGTGGGAAACAAGTGGGAACATACAAATTTCAAGTGGGAACTAGTTGAAACACTAGGGAAACTATTAGGAACTAGTGGGAAACTATTGGGAAAAAGTGGGAAACAAAAGGGAACATACAAATTTCAAGTGGGAACTAGTGGGATCAAGTGGGAAACTAGTGGGAAATAGTGGAAAAAAGTGGGAAACTAGTGGGAACAATTGGGAAACTATTTGGAACTAGTGGGAACAAGTGGGAAACTATTGGGAACAAGTGGGAAAAAGTGGGAAACAAAAGGGAACATACAAATTTCAAGTGGGAACTAGTGGGATCAAGTGGGAAACTAGTGGGAAATAGTGGAAAATAATGGGTAAAAGAGGGAAACAAGTGGAAACATGCAAATTTCAAGTGGGATCTAGTGGGAACAAGTGGGAACCTAGTGGGAACTAGTGGAAAATAGTGGGAAACAATTGGGAACATACAAATTTCAAGTGGGAACTACTGGGAACAAGTGGAAAACTATTGGGAACTAATGGGACATAGTGGGAATCAAGTAGGAATATATAAATTTCAAGAGGGAACTAGTTGGAACAAGTGGGAAACTAGTTGGAACTGGTGGGAAATAATGGGAAACAAGTGGGAACATACAAATGGGAACGTGTAGGAACAAGTGGGAAACTAGTGATAACTATTTGGAAATAGTGGGGAACAAATGGGAACATACAAATTTCATTTGGGAACTTGTGTGAACAAGTTGGAAACTAGTGAAAACTACTGGGAACTAGTGGGAAATAGTGGTAAACAAGTGGGAAATTCAAATTTCAAGGATAAAATTGTGGGAACCAGATGGAACAAGTGGATATTTATTGGGAACTAGTGGGAACAAGTGGGAACATACAAATTTCAAGTGGGAACTAGTGGGAACAAGTGGGAAACTTGTGGAAGCTAGTGGGAACAAGTTGGAAACTAGTGGGAAATAGTGGGAAATAGTAGGAAACATGTGGGAACATACAAATTTCAAGTGGGAACTAGTGGGAACAAGTGGGAAACTTGTGGAAACTAGTGGGAACAAGTGGGAAACTATTGGGAACTAATGGGAAATAGTGGGAAAAAATATCCTGACATTGTTTACAGCGTTTTTACCCTGCATAACAGAGTCCTCCAGCTTTGTGCACAGAGGGTTAATGTGTTAGATGGGGAAGTGGGCCGAGCTTGGCAGTACTGCAAGACTAAGCCAACCGATGACAAAGTCGGAGCAAGCTCCTCAACTTCATCCCCTAGCAAAAATGAGCTTAATATCGAAGGAGACACATGGTCTCCGTATCAGATATTAAGCTAAGAACAGATACTACACTTTGATCTTAGCCAAAAGGCTGAGAAGCGATACTGTTAAATATGCGTCAGGGGTACTTAAAACATTTGCTAAGCATTTTATTGCTGATCAAATGTCATTATAATTTATGAGGAGTGGCATCAGTAAACAAATTGAAACAAGGGGCAGAACATGACAATCAGATTGTTTCTTATGCAGCAATAGTACTGCTGACATCCCCTGAGTTGCATGTGCACAGATGGCCCATTGGGGACATCTCTGAGTGTCATGGGGATATGTAATAAGGGGACAGCGCGAACCCAGTCCCCCTTTATCAAAAATTACGAGTTAGAGTTACCCAAATTTGTAGTAATTTTTTAACAAAGCAAAACTTTCAAATTCTATGTCTTATTTTTATGCTGAAACTTGATGAACCATTCAGAAATCATGAAATTTTTATAATCTCTTTATTAATAGTTTGATTTGGGTTTTGAGAGTCAAATTTTTTTTACTGTTTTTGGTTAATTTTTGCCCGTTGGATCCAGCTAGGAAGCCAAAATCTTGCGGATCCAACGGATCTGGATCCTAAGCACTGATTTAACACTAGGTTTAATTTAAATTTTATGTTTTAAGGGGGAGGAGGAAGTAATTTTCCAATATCTTGAAAATCCAGAAATCAAAGCAATCTGGAATTAGGGTTTCCAACGTAATAATATAATCGCAAGCAAATGCGCAAATTGCAGGGTAGATTTTGACACATTCAGCCTAAGTTGCACTTTAAATATCAAAGAATGTACATGTCAAAATGTAGCAACAATTGAATTAATAGTCACAAAATTAAAGCAGAGTTTTGCACTGAATAGTAAAATGTTTTTTGCACAATATTTGTGCATTGTGGTTATCATATTTAGTGCGTTTAATTAGAAAAAATTTCTGTAGAATTTTATTCAATTGCGCAAAAACTTGCTTCTGGTGGAATCCCTTAATTTCTTTATTATTAGGAACTATTGATTGGATTTTAAAATCGAAATATGATTTTGTACTGGCATTTCAATTGAAAATTGTAAAATGCTAACAGTCACTTTTTTCTTTTAGTCACAGTGGCCATTCAGTCTCAACTGCAAAAAAATTCTACAGAGGTAAGTTCACTCGCCAATCTTTAAGTACCAAATTTTTTTTATTTTAAATGGAGAGACTGCAATGGTTGGTAGTTGAACTATGAATGTAGTATTGTGGAGAATTTTTTTCAAATTATTTGACTTAAAAAACTTATTAATGAATAGTGATGTAGTTTTTCAAAGTTTGAGTGTAAAATCTACTTTCAATAATGACATGTTCAATCTACATCCTCCTTATATGATACATATGCACATGCAAAGTTGTATATATTTTGATAGTGAATTTTTTGTGACATATTTTTTAACTTATAAACAATTTTAATTTATGGCATTTGCTGGTCACTCCCTTTAAAGGTACTGTTGATGTTAAGTAATTTTATTAGTCACAACAGTACCCTTAGAATTTGGCCAGTAACAATGTTAGAATTTTGCTCTTGCAAAGAACCCTCAATGAACATTAATCAATTTTCAGCTAGACAAATAAGTTATTTACCCCATTAATAGTGGGTCTTGTCATGTAAACCTTATAAAGGTCACCACAAATTTCTTATAAAAATTTGTTATTTTTATAGGACCCGGCCCCAAGGAATGCTAAGGAGGAGAAGATGACTGCAACCAAGGTAATAAGGCTAGGAAAGTTAAATACTGTTGCGAATTCTCTGTGTACATATTGCAACCAGTTCTCCCTGTGTTGTGTTTGTAAACAAGAATAGATGCAAATGTGTTCCTGTAGTATCCTAGGAAGATAATACACAATATTCCTATTTACAATTGTTGTTTTTTTATAAGAGTTTAGTGACCCGGCCTCAAGGAAGGCTAAGAAGGAGAAGAAGGAGAAGATGACTGCAACCTAGGTAATAAGGCTAGGAAAGTTAAATACTGGTGCGTATTCTCTGCGTACATATTGAAACCAGTTCTCCCTGGGTGGTGTTTGTACACAATATTCCTATATATAATTTGTTTTCATAGGACCGTGACCCAGCACCAAGGAAGGCTAAGAATGCTGAGAAGGCTAAGGTGGAGAAGATGATTGCAACCAAGGTAATAAGGCTAAGAAAGTCAATTGCTGTTGCGTATTCTCTGCATACATATTGAAACCAGTTCTTCCTGGGTGGTGTTAGTACACAAGAAAAGATGCATTGGTGTTCCTGTAGTATCCGAGGAAGAAAATACACAATATTCCTATTTAAAATTTGTTTGTTTTTGGAGTGTGATCTGGAACCAAGGAAGGCTAAGAAGGCTAAGATGACTGCAACCAAGGTAATAAGGCTAGGAAAGTTAATTTCTGTTGCGTATTCTCTGTGGACATATTGAAGCCAGTTCTCCCTGGGTGGTGTTTGTAAACCAGATTAGATGCATTGGTGTTCCTGTATCATTCAGGAAGATAATACACAATATTCCTATTTATAATCGTTTTTTCTATAGGAGTTTAGTGACCCAGCCCAAGGAAGGCTAAGAAGGCTAAGGCTAAGGAGGAGAAGATGACTAAGGACCAAGGTAATAAGGCTAGGAAAGTTAATTGCGGTTGTGTATTCTCTGCGTACATATTGAAACCAGTTCTCTCTAGTTGGTTTTTGTAAACAAGAATAGATGCATTGGTGTTCCTCTAGTATCCAGATAATACACAATATACCTGTTTATAATTTGAGAAACCAGAATGTGGGAAGGACTTAATGCTAAAAGCATTTTTTAGGATACATAAAGCAATTCCCAAAAAGCATAAACTATGATGATAGTATTTTATATTATAACAGATTATTTTAGGAGGATGAATATGAGCCGAGGCCCAAGAAGGCAAGAAGGACCAGGAAATAGGTAGGATTTACTATGGGTTATTTTAACAAGATTGCTTTGAGTTAAATTTAAATTCTCAATAAAAAGTTCTATTCTTTGGTGTACCTTTCCATGAAAGGGGGGGGGGGTTAATCTGATTATTATTATAGCTATATTCAAACATTTTTATGGTGCACACATCACCCTCACTAATTCTGAACCCGACATAAGTCAGTTAAAACTGCTTAGTTTATAATTGCATATTCGAGAAAATGTTGTATGAGTGACATTTTGTAGTTAATTACTATAAGCGTAATTCACACATTGGGCTCTGGAAATTTAGAATTTTGTATATTTTACCTCGCAGACGACGGGCTTTAAGAATAATTCAATTACTTTGGGATTGATTAGCTAAGGAACTGTATTGGAACATTTACATGAAATGATGAAACATACATTTTAAACTCCTTTTCCGACTGAGGAGGGGAAAAAATCATGAAATATTTTCTACTCTGTGTTTACACCACATGTTTTACAATGTAAATTTTTATTTATTTCAGGGTTCCTATGCAGACTCGGGCTAATTGTTTTTTTTATGTTTTTTAATTTATGATTTGTATTTTAGGATAAAATAATACCAGTGAATGAAAATTAATTAATAAATATGTCATTTTTGATTTTGCAGATTATTTTTACATACATCTTAAAAGCATGGTATTTCGAAGAGAAAAAAATTCTGTCATAAACATAAAACTTCCAATTGAAGTGTATGGAGATACGTCACTTTTATAAAAAAAATGTCTGAAACTCATTGGATCTTGATACAAACAAAAAGTCAACAGTCATCAAATACTTTTTGGTATAAATATAGGGTTACCCAGAAAGGATGATCTTGTAAAAGACAACATAACACTTTGTAAATTAGTCTTCTGCTTTAGATAAAGTAACATCATGGCACAGTCGTCTCTTAAGTCTCATCCTTTATGGTTAACCCTTTCCTATCTATTAACTAAAAGTATTGGATGGGATTAGTGACATGACTTTAAGTGGCTCGTTTTTGGGTTGAGATTTGTTATTAATTTCCTTCTTGGTCAAACTTCAGCATAGTGTAAGCAAATGTATTTTTAATTGTTGATTCTAAATCTAAACATTTGCGTTTTTACACTATTCCAACTTTTGACCCTGACCATAGTTATATGCCAAAACAGGACCTTAAAACTAACATGACGTAAAACTCGTTATCAGATTGTTTAAGATTTTAATAAAAGCGAAAGTTTACAAAATAAAGGTATTGCTTAAATCAAAGATAACAAAAAAACATTTGTCCTAAAATCTTTTAACCACTTAAGCTATATAAATATATAAGCTCAGTCCGCATAGCAGTGGGGGTTCTCTCCCTCCACCATGGAGCTAGAGGTCGAGAGGCAGAATTTAAAGAATTTGAGTTGCGGCTTAAATTTGAGAGCCTTTGCTCAAATATGTTTGATTCCACTTAAAATTGTATTCAATGTTTCAATATTTAAGGCAGCACTCAATTAAAACCGGTTTTCGGTAGAATTGAGACGTGACTCAAATTAATTAAATTCTGACTCAGTTAAAATTTTTTTGCTTCCCTTTTGTTACGGCCGTATTTTCGAAAGAGTCTGTGGCAAGAAAATTTCAAGTAACTTTTGTAAAGTACCCCCAGATCAAAAAAAAAATTAGTTTTTGATAACAAATGACATCTTGACCAGACAATTATTTTAAAGGGAACCATGGTGAATCGGACATACCAATCAACCAATAAAGAGACATGCGAAAATATGTTAATAATGAGTCCTTTCAAATAAATTTCTAATTTGTACTTGTTTATTTCCAAAAATGCAGCACTCAGGAATTTTGATTAGCATATTGTTAATTTTAACTGCTTGATTTTGATATCCAATGTGGGCACTTTAGAACTTAAGGATAAATCCTTGATCCCTACATTTCTCTGATGGGCAGGATTACCACAGGATATCTGAAAAGATGGTAGATCTATCCCCAGATTCACAACATATTAGTTCCGCCATCTGGATATACGTTCAGTGACAACCAGAAAACTTTGGATTAGCAAGACAACATTTAAACAATATTTAAATGTAATTTTTTTGTTCCAAATCAAATAGTTTTACTCTTATGTTATTACTAATTAACCAAAATCGATTTGTTTATACTGAACAACACTAAGTCTTAGTCTAATTGTTAATTCAAAGTCATAACAAAGTCTAAAAGTCGTCTTCCTAATTCACAGTTTAACACTGAGACTACCAGTTGAAATGTATGCCCTGGATAATTTGTTTCAAGTTTACCCACAAAGGATCAAATGTTAAGGACAACCTGAAGTTCTTTAAATTTACTTTTTAAAGCAATGGTTTTACGAAAATAAAAGTAAAAAAAATTGTGTGTACAGCCTACAGAAGCAAGTTTTTGCGCAATTGAATAAAATTCTACAGAAATTTTTTTTAATTAAATGCACTAAATATGATAACCACACTGCACAAATATTGTGCGTAAAACATTTTACTATCCAGTGCAATTCTCTGCTTTAATTTTGTGACTATTAATTCAATTGTTGCTTCTTTTTGACATGTACATTCTTTAATATTTAAAGTGCAACTAAGGCTGAATGTGTCAAAATCTACCCTGCAATTTGCGCATTTGCTTGCGATTATATTATTACATTGGAAACCCTAATTCCAGATTGCTTTGATTTCTCATGGTTTTACGAAAATAAAAGTAAAAAAAATGGTGTGTACAGCCTACAGTATGACAATAAATGAGTACAGCTATATTTGACAAATAAAAATGAATAAAATCTGCTAGGTCATCTTTAAAGTCTTACCCTTTTTGGTTACTCTTCTCTGTAAAATACAAAATATTGCCATGATTAAGATTAGCCTCGAACATAAGAGCTCAATCTAATAAATCATAAAAAATTTGTGGACTTATTGTCTAAGCAGTTTTCAAATGCTTCACAATTTGGTTAATTTAAAAGATTCATAGAATGGTGACAACATTTTTGAAAGCTCATTAGACGTTCAATCTTTTTTTAAAGCACTTAATGTCAATTATCAGAAATTAAAGATGTTATATTCAAGTCGTCACAAAAATATCATGTTTATGGGGACACCCTGTAAATTCTGATAAGCAGGATATCAGATATAATTCTGCTAAGCAGTATAACGGATATTCAATCTCACATTCACCATACTTATTTGAATTTTTTCACTTTTCCCCTACTTAGCCGAATATTCTCACATTAACCATTCTTAGTCAAATGTTTTCACTTTTCCCTACTTAGCTGAATATTCTCACATTTACCATACTTAGCCGAATTTTTTCACTTAAAAGAAATGTTAAAACATTTGGCTGAGTAGAGAAATTGTTAAAACATACAGCTAATTATGGGAATTGTGCTAATAATTCAGCAAAGTAGGGGAACAGTGCAAATAATTCAGCTAAGTAGGGGATTTGTGTAAATTATTCGGCTAAGTGTGGTAATTGTGCTAATAATTCTGCTAAGTAGGGGAATTGTGTAAATTATTTAGCTTAGTGTGAAAATTATGTTAATTATTTGGCTAAGATCTTCAGCTAGGGCAAAATCTTCAGCTAAGAAATGCCATCTTGTGAAAATTATGTTAATTATTCGGCTAAGTGTGGTAATTGTGCAAATAATTCAGCTAAGTAGGGGATTATTTAGCTTAGTGTTAAAATTATGTTTATTATTCGGCTAAGTGTGGTAATTGTGCAAATAATTCAGCTAAGTCGGGGAATTGGACTAATCATTTAGCTTAGTGTAAAAATTATGTTAATTATTAGCCTAAGTGTGGTAACTGTGCTAATAATTCAGCTAAGTATCCTAGAAACCATTTTACGTAACTAACATTAAATCAAAATGTGATGTAACGTTACGTAACGTAGCTAACAATTGTAACGTTACTGAACGTTACATAACGTAAATAACGTAAATGTAACGTTAGCTGACGTAACTTTACGTAGATTATGTAACGTTCGTCTGAGGTTTTTATTAAACTTTGAAGTTATGTAGTATGATAACGTAAATTTACGTTATATATTTAGCGTCAGATAAAGGTTATCTTTGAACGTCAGATAACATTATTTAAAGTAACAGTGTTAATTGCAGTCTCTCCATTTAAAATAAAAAAAATTTGGTATTTAAAGATTGGGAAGTGAACTTACCTCTGTAGAATTTTTTTGCAGTTGAGGCTGAATGGCCAATGTGACTAAAAGAGAAAAGTGACTGTTAGCATTTTACAATTTTCAATTGAAATGCCAGTACAAAATCATATTTTGATTTTAAAATCCAATCAATAGTTCCTAATAATACAGAAATTAAGGGATTCCACCAGAAGCAAGTTTTTGCGCAATTGAATAAAATTCTACAGAAATTTTTTCTAATTAAATGCACTAAATATGATAACAACACTGCACAAATATTGTGTGTAAAACATTTTACTATCCAGTGCAATTCTCTGCTTTAATTTTGTGACTATTAATTCAATTGTTGCTTCTTTTTGACATGTACATTCTTTGATATTTAAAGTGCAACTTAGGCTGAATGTGTCAAAATCTACCCTGCAATTTGCGCATTTGCTTGCGATTATATTATTACATTGGAAACCCTAATTCCAGATTGCTTTGATTTCTAAACCCAAATCAAACTATTAAAAAAGAGATTATAAAAATTTCATGATTTCTGAATGGTTCATCAAGTTTCAGCATAAAAATAAGACATAGAATTTTAAAGTTTTCCTTTGTTAAAAAATTCAGTCATTTTTAAAGAAATAATTGTATTGGATTGTATCAACTGTGGGTTTTTAGCATATCACAAGTAAGCTAAAAACCCTAGTAAAAGAGTAGTAACAAATTTTGTGTTTGACATTTAAATGACCTCTAATGTCCTTCAAGTGAAAGTTATAATTTTGGCTCAATTCCTTCCCCGCGTCTAAATTATTTAAAAGATTTCTGCTGTAGTGCACAATAAGTATTAACCACAAGAAGAAGTTGGCTCGGCTATTTTTCAGTCCAGGGAAATAATTTTCTTTAAAATAGGTGTAACTATACAGAAAAATTAGTGCTTCTTCTTCTATATTTTTTTAACCATTTGTGTGACCCTGGTCGTTTGACCCTATGTCTAAAAATGTCTAACATATTTTAACCAGGGGGTGGAAACGTCTTGGTGTGTTTGTGCATCAAAAGAGTGCGATTCTGTTAAGGCTTATATAAGGAACCAAATATATTTTAAATATCTGTCAAAAGAATGGGGGGGGGGGGGTGATTGAGAGGGAAATAATGTTTTTTTCTAAATTTTTGAAATTTAAATAGGCGAGGAACTGATGTGACTGAAACAAGGATGTAGGATTTGGCTAGCAAGTTCCATCTGGACAAACACGATCCTATATACAAGGAGTATAAGAAGGAAAACCTGAATATTTCTTCTAACAACGAAGTTTTCTACGTTAAAGGTAAAAAGCTATCCATAATCTAAGAGGTATTAATCTTAATATGCCTTGGGTCATCCTCCCCTATAAATTGCCTTTTTTATCTTCCCAGTCTATTTCATAGAAAAAATTTTCGAATTTTCGAAAAATCTTACTTTTTCGAAATTATAAATATTAGAACTGTAGCCACAATTGTTAATGATTGGATATAGGATGAAGACTTAATGTATCATTCATTTTGGCCTTTGAATCAATGCCCGTTATTTAGGGAAATGCGGAGAAAATAATCCTGTTATTATGATCCCAGTTGTTCAAGACCTCATCTAGTTGATGCTCAAGCACAGAGAGACTTTCGTTCCAGAGGTACTCAAATAACCAGTCTGTTTTGAGGTTGCTCTTTGACGTGATTTTTGTTCGGGGTTAAATTTGGCTTGGCTGATTGTAGTTCAGCAACCACCAAATGTAGTTTAACTCTCTGAAATACAGGATCTAGGAAGAAGTTGTTTCCTGAAGCTGTTGATGTTATTCCAATTTGCCCTTCAGAATCAAGATGTGAAGGTAAGAACTAAGTAATACACAATTAGTGTAACATTTTGATGTTTAAATGGGTTGAAGACTGGATGGGAGAGTAAATTATTTCTGAAAATGTTTAATTGGGCCCATATTTTGCAAGCTCATACTCTTGATTGACACTTTTGACCCTAAAATCCTCCACAAGGCTCTATTGGTTGCTTGGCCGCCATTACATATTTTTTTTATGAAAGTAGGTTAAGGGTAAATTTGACTCAGCTATTAGGCACCTAGCATTAGTTAATTCATTCTGTTGAAAAACTTTACTTAAAAAATTCATTTATTCCTTCTGAAAAATCATCTATTTTCGTCAATTGTGCAAGAAAGACATTTATTTTTTTCATAAAATTGTGGGGCTAATAGTTTTTTTCAAACGGGGATGATGATTTTCTTTTACAGATATTCACCCGGTCTCCCTCTTTTAGCTAGATAAAAGCCATTTGTCTAAATTTTATGAATTTGAGTTAGGTTTTGATAAACAAGCTATTGCTGTTTCTAATCCTTAACCTTACGTGTAAGATTATGATGATTCGAATTGGTGATTTAAAGATTCCGGATTTGAAGGGGCTGAAGGTAGTTCAGCGTCCACTCCAATTATTTATTTCGATCCCAAATGTAGTTTAACACTCTGAAATACAGGATCTAGTAAGAAGTTGTTTCCTAAAGCTGTTGATTTAATTCCGGCTGTTGATGTTATTCCGATTTGCCCTTCAGACTCAAGATGTGAAGGTAAGAACTAAGTAATACACAAATGGTGCTTAAGTAACTCTCAGATCATGAAAAATAGTAATAAATATGAACTATTTACGAATGCGTCGAAAAATAATCGATGACTAATGTTTGTAATATCTGAATGATTTTTATACCCCCTTTCGTTTTTCGCAAACACTCCCATTAAGTAAGGCAAAACTTGACGGGAAATCATTAAATTAGCAGGGCCATTTAAGAAAAATATTTTTATAAGTTCAAAATTTTGTGTTTTTCCCTAATGCTTCTTAAAAAATGTGTAGCATGCCTGACGCCTATATAAAAGTCAAATATTTCAATGTTCATGATATTTTGTAAACTATATTTATTTATTTTCCTCAAAAGATAATTTCTTTCCCCAATTTTTAGCAAAAAATATGTAACTTTTATGGGGAGATGATTTTAATTGCTCGCGAGGGTTCGGGGTTGCAAAGCCGAAAAAGGGTTAAATTTTCAAAAGTAATGGTAAATTATTAGTGCATTGGAAAATACATGTAATTAGACTTGATTTAATTAGCTCAGTTGCTTGTAAATAATTTTAATGTCAATAAGGCAAATCGAGAATCATCGTCCCTGCCCTTAGTAAGGGAAAGGATAGGAAGCATAGATGCTTTGTCTGCGATCAAGATAAGTTTCAGTTGTATGCCTGATTCCCAAAAGTATCTTTAAAACTTTTATCTAATCAATAATTAATTTTGGTGGAGCCACATTGCATCCTAGTATGATTTGATTTGAAAGACGAAGCTTTTAAGTATATCGTGATCGGGCATTGTCATCTTTGAAAGCGGTGTCACATTTTCAGTCCCTTTATTTTTCACATTTTTATATTTCAGGGGACATTAGTTACAAAACTAACACTTGGCCCATTTCTAACACTTCAACCTAATAATTACGTGTGTTCCGAGAAGTGGTTTATACTCAAAAACGGGAAATTGGGTTTTGTCTCAAATGTGACAATGATTCAAATTTAGGACATGTTCAAAAATGGAAAACATGACATTGTCTTGAAAACGGTATAGGGCTTAATATAAAAAGAACTCCTTTTTTAATTTTGATTAAAGAAAATATTTTTAAATTGGGAATTTTTGTCCTTGTCATGCTTAAAAATGTTGGTAATAATTTTTTGTTATCGACTTTGCTCTCCATTATGCCGAAATCTTAAAATCCTAGTCTTACAATTTGTGCCCATTTGTAACACTCAGTGTGAGAAAAGTATTAGTTTTGGAACTAATGTCCCCTGTATTTGATGTGAAGAAATTCTTGTTACAGGTTTGTTACTTGTGGATGAAATCCGGAGATTTTTCTAAGCATAGAAAGGTTGGATATTACATATATTTAATTGCTGGGGTGTTGAGATTTTGTTGATGAAATGCTAAAAATGTTTTGATTTAAACAAAATATTTTTTAAAAGACTTGTATATTCTTAAAGCAATGTAAATGTGAAAAATGTATTTCTTAACCCTTGAAGTTAATAGAATGAAGGTGAATAGATCATTGAAAAAATAAATTTACGACTCCACTCACAACACAATCATTCCATAGGAACCCATTTTATGGAAATTTTGCCCATAAAATTAGAACTATCTCAAGTCGAAACCTGTAAAGATTTGAGTTTCCTGTGTATAACTTTGATACAGACTTCCCCATGGTTTCTTTCTCGGAAACAAATCCCTTGGGTAAAATGTAGATATGAACACAACAACCCGACTACAAATATTTAAATCACTAACTTTTTTAAGGAATGATTTATTCTAAATATTGAAAAATAATTAAAACAAACTGGAAAATAATCCCTGATTCATTAAGTTTCACATGTAATAAAAAAAAACAACAGATTGCTTGAAAACTTTTTTATTTTCCTTTCTCTCTTACCTTCTTGAGGGCAGTACTTAGGATACATTAAGTTTTGATCCGGATCCGGATCCTGGATCCGCACTGGAAAAAATGGATCCTGATCCATGTCATTATTTTAAGTTTTACTGAAATTTTGAACAAAGCAAAATTTTCAAATATTTGTTTGCTTCTTTTGCTAAAACTTGATTAACTGTTCAGAAATCAGGAAATTTTTATAATCTATTCAATAGTTCAGATTTTGGTTTTGAGAGTTAAAAAGTTGCGGGTTTTTTTGCACTCTCTGGTTGATATTTCCCCCCTTAGATCCGGATCTGTGGATTCACATGTTTTTGTGGATAAGGATCCAGGAAGCCAAATCTTGTGGATCCTAAGCATTGTTTGAGTGACATTCTAAAAGATGATAAATAAATCATATATAGCCCTATGAGGAACATTTGATCAATACTGCCCTGTGTTGACAAATGTAGTTTTATGTTAAAAATAATCAACACTTTAACCTCGGTATTTTAAAGACGAACTGTGAGGATACTGAAGAAGTAAGATGTCTCAGAAAAGTTGGGAAGAATTTGAGGGTTCAGAATGGACTTACTGAAAGTCATTCTAACCTTATTCTAAACGGAATTCGGGACGAGGAGTTAAAGGTTTGTCCACATTTATTCCTAATTATTAGTGTTTGTCGATTTTTTGTTCTCTAGTCCTATAATGCATAGTATTTTTACTTTGTTCAATGTAGCAGAGGCAAGATACAGATATGTTAGCTACATGATGAGACTTCAGAGACGACTGAATTGAATTGATGCTGTCTGTTTCCTTATACTCATGAATCCAAAAACTTAACTTTTTTCATTATTTTGTTGGCCAAATTAAGTAAGCCATTATAACACCATATTCAAGGCACAAGACTTAATTTCAACATGTTATTGTAATATTTAAAAGATTTAAGGCGTCTGTACAGTCTCATTGTTGGTTGGTGATCCTTACGTCTTAAAATAGGTCTACAATACTTGCTTTCTAGGACATCATTCGGAATGACCGTAGCCTTCTTGAGTATACCGACTATTTGGCGAGGTTTATTGTTGATCCACATGACAAAGGTGGGTTTTAATCAATCCATCACTATTAAAAGTTAGAACCCACACCCCTGTAGGCGCTACGACATTTACTCTATTTCCATTTGCTCTATGACCATTTGCCGTAGCTCCATTTACTCTTGGACATCATTTTCTCTTCACGTCCTTTAAACTGAGATGTGTTTTCTTTCTAAAGACTGGTGGGGGGGGGGGGGGGG